GGAAAATCAAGTTCAGACAACCTGTTCTTTTGAACTAGAACTACCGCCATCAGTACAGTTTCAAGATGGACACCCAAGATTAATGTCAGCAATTCAGTATCTGACCATTTGGTATTTCCTTCTGTTCCTGAGATATGACAGTAACGGCCAGAAAACTGTTTCTGTAGAACATTATGATGTCACGGTGAAGTTGACCTTTGATCTTTTAGATATAAAATGTCACTTCTTCATTATATGGGGCGACACCCGCGAGCTAGTTCAGGCAGCCAACTTGAGCTGCACTGATTCATACACACACGTCGTACGTCAGTCTTTCAGTCCACCTCCACCAACATCCACCTGCAGGCTCCATCTAAAGGGGGAAATACTTAATCATCACTCCTCAATATCTCATGTAACCGTATCTGCGTTGAACTCTTCTGCTGTTGAAATAAACATTTAAACATGAGTTGTCTTACTGAAATCCTATTATGAGACATTTGTGTGAATTTCTCTCATTATTAGCATTTGAATTCTTGAGTTATGGCCAAAAACATGCCTTGAAGGCTACAGTGACCTTGATCTTTGACCTTTGACTACCAAATTTGACTCATTTCATTGCTGAGTCCAGGTGGATGTCGGCCCCCAATTTGAGGAAATTCCCTCAAGGTCAAAAAGGCCAAGGCCAAAAAACTGAGGTGAGGGAACAAGGAGTGCTAAGATGCTAACGAATTTCTGGGGTTTTAGCCTCATTCCTGTTGCTTTCGCCCACCAGTCTAGTTGCAGTTACAGTGTATGCCCATGTCTGACATTTGTGCCAAATCTGAGGAAATTCCCTCAAGGTGTTCTTGAGATGTTGCTTTTGCAATAATGAGATGGATGCAAGGTCACAATGATCTTGACCTTTGACCACCGACATCTAATCAGTTTATCTTTGAGTCCAAGTGGATGTTTGTGCCAAATCTGAAGAAATTCCCAAATTCTCAAGGTGTCGTTGAGATATCATGTTCATGTGAATGGGACAAATGCAATTTCACAGTGACCTTGACCTTTGACCAACAAATTCTAATCAATTCATCCTTGACCACCAAAATATAATCAGTTTGTTTTTTGAATCTACGTAGATATTTGTGCCAAATTTGAAAAGATTCCCTCAAGGTGTTCTGAAATAACGCCTTCTCAAGAATGAGACAGATGAGATCATAGTGACCTTGACCTTTGACCTACGACCACCAAAGTCTATCCGATACATTGCTGAGTCATGGTGAATGTTTGTGCCAAATTTGAAGAATTTCCCTCAAGGCATTCTTAAGATATCGCATTAACAAGAATGAGACAGATGAGATTATAGCGCTCTAGGCCTTTCACCTATGACCACCAAAATCTAATAAGTTAATTGTTGAGTCCAGTGGATGTTTGTGACAAATTTGAAATTCCCTCAAGGCATTCTTGAGATACCATGTTCACGAGAACGGGATGGACCGATGGACAACTGAAAACATCATGCCACATACAGTATTCTACAGGATGGAAACAGGTTGCAGAGCAACATGAGACTGAATGTCTGGCTCAGACACAAAGTAATGGAATATTTTTTTAGGGAAATGGCCCTTTAACTCCAGTTTAAAACATGATGTCAGGCTTCTTTGTGTCTTTCCTCTGGTTTAGACAGGAAACATCATGTCAGACGTAAAGCCCACATAATGACAAACCACAAATCTGTCTCACACTTGAAAGGTGCTGTAACACTCGAGGATAAATCCTTCCATCGAGGTCAACAGAACAAATTTCTTTATCGTCCTTGATGATGAAAGTGTTCCCAACTTCACAGGAAAATAGCTGGACTTCAGTGAAGGACATCTGAGCGTGTGCTCGTTTCATTTTGCAGTAAATATTTAAAAAAACGGAGCTCAGAGGAGTCAAGGATGAAGCCTGGTTCAGAGATAAGAAAGCCGAGGCGCTCTTTGTGCACACAGTGCGTTTAAAAGCCTCAGCTGGAGTTGAAGGTAGCCGCCAGAAGAAAAGCATTTTATAACACATAAAAGCATTCCCTCCTTTGCTTCAGACTTTTTTGAGATTATGCGGAGGTCACGTGACGTGCAGCCGAACACGGAGAGGTAGTTGCAGGTGAAAAGCATGACCAGAAAAAGGGTAACACTCCTTTACCTTAACAGTTACTGTCAAAGTCCCATTTAGCGAGGCAGTTTACCCCCAGCTGCTCCGGTGGTCGCTGCGACAAAAGTGCATGCACGCTTCATCAACTCTGCCTGGATAAGCAGCAGTTGGAAAATGTACTTTGCTAAAGTACTTTTTGAATAATGGCGTCTGGCGAGGGAAAACGTCTCAGGACTATTTTGCTCCCCCCAGGGTGCTGGTGCTGTCGGGAAAGAAAAACACATCGAGGCCAGCGTGCGTTTGCTTGACAGAGTTGTTTTCGCACAAACTGCAGATGTTGAGTTTTATTTCTATGCTGCTCTTTACAGGATTTTTCCCTCTCCGACCACTCCTTCATTTTTCATGTGGTGGCTGTTCCCACTCTGAGGCGCCTCAGGCTGTAAGACATGTACATGTGACTGAACATAAGGACTCAAATCCCTCCCTGTCCGACTGAAACACAGGCTGAAGCGGAGAGAAATCACGTCGAGGGCCAATGTTGCAAAGAGACACTAATCAATCAGACAGCGACTGACTCCAACTGTTTAGTAAATTACATTTTGGCTCTTATCAGCATCAGTGAAGCTTAACTAACGATGCCGCACCCATCCGAGGGACACTGACAAGTCTTCTCTTGCTCATTTTGTAATATACATGTATATTATTTGAGCATCAGAGCTGTTACGGTAATGCCAGACAGTTTTTATTCAGATTTATGTGTGCAGGAAACACTTCTGCTGAGCAGGAATGTTTTTGCAGCAGTGTAACAGTCGGATGATTTCAGGGGAATGGCATTAAAGGAGCAACTTTATAAACTGTATTTCTCTTGTCAAGGACAATGCAGTGATTGTGAACTTACCCCACCACTTCCTAACATACAAAGAGCATAATATTGCATGTACACCTTCTCAAAGAGCAACAAACTTTTAATTCTCAAAGCCCAGTTCAGACCAAAGATACACAACATGATGATACCATTTTAGAACGTTGCAGAGAAAAGTTGCAGCACTTTGAACTGACCGGTCTGACCTCAACTCAAGGCAGCTGATGGTGTCACCTGCAACTCAGCTGGTCCAGTTGCATGTGGCCGGTTTTAACCTCTCTAACTCTGCCAGGACGCCGATGTCCTCGCTCCCCCCATCTCTGTTAAATGGTATCTCCCAGGCGCACTACGTCATCAAACCATGTGATGTTTGGTATTGCCGGATTCAGGAAGCTCTCGACTTTTCAAAAATAACATCGTTTTTCTTTTATTTATTATGGATTTCGCACCAGAGCAGCAAGTCCAAAATCGCGGTGACAAGTCATGTCATGCCGTTTTTCGATGGGAAAAGTTACAGGATTACTCGCGATCTTATGTGCAGCTGTTAGCGGGGACTTAGCTGTTTTATAAACGGTAAGAGTCTCACTCCTACCACTATTTTTGGCTGAGATATACCGTCTAGAATGTGGGATCATAACTTTCACGTTTCATATGGCTTTATTTGGTGATATTTTATGGTGTTTCTGTGTCATAAACAACATCAGCTATCATAATCACACCTGATTTCAATAAGGTACAATGTTTGAAGCTGGCTGAGTGTTGTTTGATCACTGATAGTACTGTTTTGAAGCCGAGTGACTGACTTGTCATTTGGAGCTCCGCCTGGATCTTTTCATGGATAAAACACTGTAGAATGGTCATACTTTGAGCAGTCTTCTTCAAATTTGAAACAAGTGTTCATTGATAGTGTGCCTACAGCCCCACAGTGTCATTTACCTGCTCAGATGAAGCCACAGACAGTTATTCATCCTGAAACACATTTTTTATTTTATTTTAGGCAAAATCTTCAATTTTTCACTGACTTCAGAGGCCCATTACTCTGTCTCTGTATCACCTAGAGTGTTTCTGACACTTTCACAAGAAACTTCAGGGAGTTTTCTTTCTGGCAAGACCTCATGCATGCATGTAGTCAGAGCGGTTCAGAAGCTACAGTCATTTTAATTTGGGTATGTCATTTTAGGCGTACAAAATGGGGGTGGAGTACAATTAAAGCACATCACCTCTTTCAACAGCCAATCTGCTTGTAGTGAAGTCCGCTGGTCAAGTCAAAATGACTGTAACAGTTAACGCAATTAACGGTTCAGAACACCTGAAAAGCTGAGTGATACATGTAGAGTTAAAAGTCGCAGTGCTGTTATACTGTATTTCAGCACTCATGGAATGCCTCTTGTCCAATCAGATTGTTTGGCTGGAACTAACTGTTGTATAACATTTCTTAATTTACACAAGAAAGTATGAATTAAAGGCTAGTACCTTTATAGGAGTAGCCCAAAATTACTTGGTCTGACACTTAACACAAAATTTGGCCAACAAAAACAAAACCAAGTGATGGTTGATCTATGAAGTAAAGGATGAAGTTGTTGAAGGGTAGAACTACAAATGACAAACGTTTTGGGTCAGTGCAAGGGGTTGGCAGGCTAACGACTATCATAACTGTCTCTTCCACTTCAAAAAGTGCAGCTGCAGGCTACCGGTAAGGTGCACTGTGTCGTCTTTGAAGTGGTGTTTTGTTTTTCTTAAGACTAGCACAAGTAGGCGGGGTTGGAGAGAAATAAAAGGGAGAATCACTGCGCCCGGGTCTTACAAAGGTCAGGAAAACCCTGTTGTTTATTCTGGTTTATTCTTTGGTTAAAACAGGCCTTGAAAAGCATTGGATCATTTCATCATTTAGGTAATTCCCAATCTATTAATAAACTGATGTCTACCTTTTTACCTCTCATGATAAGCACACAAATGCTACAACAACTTTGATACTGCGACACTTATTAAATTAGTCCACAATAAAACAGAAACCAATAAGAAATCAAAACATGATTGGTCTTACCATCATGAGTTCCCTCTGGAAGGACTTCCTCTCCTTGTTCTCCATGTTTGTACACTCCTCTTTGAGTTTCTCCAGAACCGACGCCACCTTCTCTGGCTCATTGTCCAGCTCTGTCCGGCAAAAATAATTCAGCGGCAAATTCCCGTACCCCAGGGCATCTGCAAACGCCCTCCAGTTGCCCACATTCTCCATTAAAACCGTCCTCACCGTTGCGTAGATGTATGTAAGAAATTTGCAAGGCTTCAGGATCTGCTCCAGCAGCATTGTGGTCGTTAGGTCCGGCCCACACCAATAAATGGGCTTGACCTTACCCAGAACTAAAACGTTCTTGGCATGGACAAGGCCTATCTTCCCCTGATAGTATCCAATGTACCACTCTTTGGTCCTCAGCTGCCCTCGCAGTTTGATTTTCTCCTCGCTGAGCAAAGCAATAACGTCCCCCTTTTTGTACTCCAACAGATAAGTGCTCTTGTGCTGCCTAATCACTGTTTTGATCAACTTGCCAAATTTAAGGTTGATAATGCACCGGTCCTGAAACTTTGGGTATTTGGAAGTGACAGCCAGCGGTGAGAGGACAATCTTATCCACCTCTTTCTTTTTTAGAAACCTCCTCTGGCCTGTTATCCTTGCTCCGCTCTTTGGTGGCGGTGGTGGAGTTTGGACGCAAAACTGGGTGAGGATACAGTCAAGGGCATCCTTGACTTGGACCCTGAGAGTGAAGTCTGAGATGCTGTTGGGGTTGTGTGATGTGATCATGTACAGGAGCCTGCTAACTTTCCCCAATTTAACCTGAAATCCACGAATCACCCCTGCACCCTCACTCGCCTTCACCTGGTAGTTAGACATGTTGGAGTACAATCCCACCTGGAGGTCCTGAGGGTAGCCCAGAACAAACTGGTGCTTCCCCCACAGCTGGAGGGCAACTGGTGGGCTGGAGCTAGCCTGCCGGCCCACCTCGTTTACCAACAAGGTCTTAGGGGCGCAGTCATGCCCAAACATGGCCACAACTGCCTTGAAGGAAGGGTGAATGTGTTTGGGTCCGTAGACGCCAAGAGTTACTTTCCTCTGCACATGGTCCCAAACAGTGGTGTTGTGGCTGATGTATTGTGACTGAACCACAACCGCCACATACATACATGGCTCCAGACTATCCAGCTGTACCTGGACTGTATCCTTGTAAATGTAAGCGTTAGGGATGGGCGTGTAAGGTCCTTCTTTGCAGTCACTGCGAACGCAAAGCACCTCTGCAGTGTGACAACTCTCCCTCTTGACAGTTACCAGTACCTTCATCTCCAACGTGATAAAGGACTTGGTCTCCATGTTGCTCAGCTTGATCTCCACCACGGGGCTGACGGTGGAGCAGTGGTCACTGTTGAGCTCCAGAGGAGGGTCTAGTAAGGCTTTCATGGAGATCTGCTGGTGGTCTCCATGGCTGACGTGGCCTTCGGGGATGTGGATGCTGATTTGGGTGTCTGGAAGCTGAACAACTCCTCCGCTACTGTCCAACCTGCACACAATGTTGGTCTCCACCGGCTGCGTCTGGCCCCACCCAGGACTCTGGCCCAGGGAATCAAGGTCATGGCAAGACCTGGCTAGCTTTCTGTGGTTCAACCAAGCAGTCCTGAAGTCCTCCCTGCTTTGAAACTGCTCCGGCGAAGGAGCCTTAAGGCCTGTGAAGAATCCCGAAGAAGGTAAAGTCGGATTCGACTGCGCTTGCAGAACTGAAAGTTCAGAGAGACTATGGGAACGTTTACTCCTGAAAAACGGGTTATCCCTGTGCAGATTAGGGACAACCTCTTGGTTTGGGCTGGTGGGCGTGGTATTGTTAATGTGGCAGCTGCTGAACCCATTGGTCATGATTGTACTGGTGGTAAAGTTTGAGCAAGATGATGGAGATGCCAGTGCATCAAAGAGGATTAGGTCCGTTGAGTTCCTCACACTTAAATCTTTGCAGTTTTGATCTAACGGACGGATAAAGGGGTTCACAGAGAAGGGGCTGTTGTTGTAAGTTGGTGATGGCTTAAGAGTCATCCCTGTCCACTCCCCCAAACCTCCAAACTCCTTCGACCCATCCTCATATCCCTCCCCAAGACTGTCAATCATCCCACTGTCGCTAAACGAAGAGTTCCTGAAGTTGACCGGCTGGACGTACGCTGCTGGGATGTAGCCCATTTCTGTGTTGTTGTGGGCGTACCACCACTCTCCACCGGACGTGTCCAACACATAGAGGCGATCTCCTTTGGAGAACTTCAGCGTGGTGAAGCTGCTGGGGCAATAATCCTTTATAGCGACCACTTCCTGTGCAGCTCCATAGGAGGCTGAAGTGTCCAGCCTTAAGGCACTCGGAGAAGGCACTGCAAAGGAAAACAAATATCAGACAGAATCTCTTAAAACTATTAGCGATGGTCCTCTGCCTTGATTGCAAAGTGGTTTCGCAACTGGTTTGTCACTAATTTAGATGAGCACACTTAATCTCTAAATGGTTGATTATCAAAATGCTGCAGTCAACAATGCCTATCTCATAATCAGACACAGATATAATGGGCAAGCTGAAATAATGAGGCAATGGTACTACAGCTCAGACAAAGAGGTTTGTGTCCAACAGGGTTCAGTGGTTCAGTTTAAAGCATGTAAAGGAAGAACTTGATCCTGGGAAAAAGGAAGGCGGCAAAAATAGCCCCCAAAATAAAAACCTTTAATCACTCTGAATGCAACGACAAAATTTTCAGATCACTAGGTAAATGTATGAGCAGACAAACTGCATAATTTACTGCATCTTCTACATCTTCTTCTATTTTTAGTTCCCTCATTAGTGTATATAGAGCATGTAAACAAAGCTGTAATGAAGTGCAACCATTGAAGTGAAAGAGCCAGAGACAGAATGCTCCTGTTTCCAACATACGACTGAATAATCTAATGACAAAAGATGAAAAGCAGATACTTTGATTAATCAGTTCTTCAAATTGATCAGTTGAGTCTTGTACCTTACAGACCACATGCTTTCTTCATGACTGAGAACAGGTGTGGACACACTGACCTTTGACATCGTTAAGACTGGCCCCGGTGACCCCCTCACTAAGGTCGATGAGCGTCCCCTCAGACTTGCAGCGAGGGAGGATGTGATTGTTGTTCGTCACTCTGATGATGCGATGGGCAGCCATGGCCGGGACTCAACACAGAATTCTCTCATTGGCAGCTTTTCATCTGGACGGGGAACAAAGAACGGATTTCAGGGGTGGGAGTGACCAGCCAATTTTAAACACATCTGCATTCAGGCATTTAGCTGCTGCTTGAATCTAGAGCGAATCCCAGAAGCAGCGCTGGAGTAGGAAGCTTCATTTTCTAGATGACTAACAGTTAAAGGCTACAAAGGTCAAAGCTGCAAAGGCAGAAAATAAGGTTGATAAATATCACTGCATTTTTGAAGGATGTGCTGGGGAAGGAATGACTCCCAGCTGAGCAGAGCGAGTTCTTTCTTTTTCTCTAAATCAATGCAAAGAGCATGAGCGGTGGGCTACGAGAGGGAGGAGGAGAGATGTGATTTAGGAGCGCAATCGAAAGGCAACAAAGAAATGAAACAAAGATATTTAAGTGTTGAGTGAAAGTAACAATGAACTTTGTCTGAAATTTAATCTGAAGTATGATGCATGATGCAAGAACCCTTCTATATTGTACTGATATGTAATTGTTAAACACGCCATTCCAAAACCACGGGTGTTAACATGCTACCATAACAGCCTCCACTCTGCTGGTTTCAATCTTCCCACCAGATGTTAAATTTGGCAGCAGGGATTTGCTCCCATTCAACACTGATGTCAGGCAATAAGGCCTGATGGGCACTGGCGTTAGAGTCAGGTCACAACAACTTTTCATCTAATCAATGCATCATTCATCCTAAAGGTATAGGATGAGGTTGAGTGCAGGATAGGACTGTGCAGGCCAGTCAAGTTCTTTCACAGCAAGGTGGGGCAACTATTTCTATGGCGTTTAATCACTCTTAAAACTCGTACACACACACAACAGGTGGTGTTCCTCACATTTAAGTTAAGTCAAAGACGGTTTAGGAACCACAGAGAGCCTGGAACTTAGACATCAGAGTGGAGTATCTTTGGTTAAGTAACCTCTTTTTCCTCCGACATCTTCTTGTCCAATAATTCTGCCGGCAAAAAGAAACTGCTGGTGTTGAAATTGACCAATCAAAGAAGCGAGGCTTCAGCCTCTGTCTAACCAATCAAAGAAGTGGAGACCCCAGTCACTGTCCCCACCTCCAGTCTCAAAAGACTTTTTGCATTGCGGTACTTTCGACATCGTGCAAGTGTTGAGCAGAACCGAGCGCACATGTAGGCAGTTGTAACTGTGCGTGCAGAGCAGAAATGCGTCCTCGCGAGGATGCTTTTCCGCTCGCCGATACTGTAGTGTGTGCGCGCATGGGTTTTGTATGGGGTGCCGTTTGTAAAGTGGCTCACGCTGAAAATAACATCAACATTTTGCCACATTTAGCTTCAAACAATGTTTAAAAAAGTGTTGTGATTTTTTTAACGTCACCTTTTACCACATTTACAGCAATATTTGTTAACTTAGAAATATATTAAATAGTTAAATCTAAATATTAAATGTGGCACCTAAATGTTAAATCTAAATATTATATCTAAATCTAAATGCTAAATCTAAATCTAAATGTTAAATCTAAATATTAAATCTAAATCTAAATCTAAATGTTAAATCTAAATATTAAATCTAAATCTAAATCTAAATGTTAAATCTGAATGCTAAATATAAATCTAAATGTTAAATCTAAATATTAAATCTAAATCTAAATGTTAAATCTAAATATTAAATCTAAATCTAAATCTAAATGTTAAATCTAAATGCTAAAGCTAAATCTAAATGCTAAATCTAAATCTAAATGTTAAATGTTAAATCTAAATGTTCTGGGTGAAACTAAATATTTAGCTGATATGCAAATCACCTTGTTGTTAACAAATACTTCTTTTGTGCACTGTTCGTACGAAAAGTAATGCACTATAATTTGTCGGGGACGCATGATAATATCGGCACATCATCGATTCCGGCCGATATCGGCTTTTAAATAAACTATTAGAATCAATTGGTGATCACTAAAATTAGCTGGGGAAAAAAGCAAATATATCAATATTGGTATTTGTTATTGGCCAAATAAGTTGTTATATAAATCCAATATCATGCATCCATAATAATTTGTATTTAACCCATGTAATCATGTGACCTCTGGGTGCAGGCTGTCCTCCATCATATGACAGGAGGAAAGAAGGGAGTCAGGCTATGTGTTCATTGGTATTGTACGGACAGACGAGTGGAGTGGTGTGAGAGGAATACTCCTATTATTAATCATCATTTTTGTCTTCCAGTTACTGTCCATAACACACAGATTGAACCAGTTTCCTCCTATAAACATTTGGGCATCTATGTGGATGCTGCGTTGTCCTGGAGTGCACATATAGATCATATTACTGAGGTACAACAACATATTTACTCCCTCAGCACACTGAGGTCATTTGTCAGACAAACAGATCCTGTTACTGTTTCTCCGATCTATAATAGAGTGTTATGCAGTATGAAATCAGTGCATGGTACAGATGGTTCTCTGTTCAGTTGTGGGTCAAGCACTTGAGTCTAGTTTCCAGCCTGCGTCTACTAAAAGATTATTGTCTCTGGCTGGTAATATTGCGTCTGACCCCTGTCACCCCTCTCTCTATTTGAACAATATCAGCTTCTGCAATCACACAGAGGATTAAATGTCCCACAGGCTCGACTGAGCGGGCTGACATTTGTTCCTGGGTCTGACAACCTATTAAATCAGAGGATGGCTTCTAAGTAGCCGGGGTCAAACACTGAATGTGAAAGGTAATGAGTAATGTGTTGCACTGTGTTCAGTTTTTGTTACGTCTGCTGTGATTTGTAGTTTTCGGTGGATGATTTTGTTTGGTTACATATTGTTTTATACTTATATTTATGTGAAGCAGTTGACGTCCTTGATTGTAAGACACATTTCAGATTGTTTTTTGACAGTAAAGTGAAATCAAATCAGTCAATCAAATGTAGCATAAAAGACTGACAAAGGAAGATCGGGGTGGTGGCCTGGTCAAACAAACACAGGACTTTGACCCAGGACACCAGGGTTCAAGGGTTTAAGTTACATATGTACGTAACATCCCGTTAACACGTCACATCGCCGTTGTTATGGTGTCATTATGTTTAGTACATAACATGATGAGGCCCAGCTGATTGTTTCCCTCGACCTAAACAGTCCGTGTACTTCGCAGCCATTCATTTTTCGTTTCGAAATAACAAATTGAAACACGGAAAACCAACCATTACCCGTTTTTTGTTTTGAAATGACCAAACGAAAAAGGAAAAGAACAATCCGTCTCCCGTTTTTTATTTGATAATAAAGAAAAGAAAAAAAATATTTAATTTGGGAATTTAAAAAAAATCCTGTGGGAAACTCCTTTCTCTATTTTTTGTTCGTTTCTTCTCTGTGACCAGTAAGTTGCATTCATGTGGTGTCAGAATAATCGGAAAAATGACTTTCCGACTGGGAAAATACACATGAACGCCCGCTCATGTCGGAAAAACAACTCAGAAGATAATTTTGGAACAGGAGCTGCCGACTTGACTGAAATTGACGTCACTTTCACAGAAAACTGGCAGACGAAAAGGAACGTTTGGTCCATGGTAATAAAAGTTTTTATTAATTCACGTATTGCGTATCATTTTTTGCGGACATGTAATGTGTAATGTGGTATGCCGTTAGTTGCTGTCCATGTAGAGTGACCTAGATTAGTTAGAAAAGTTATTTATTAGCATAACATGTCAGATAAAGCAATATTCTAGTAGTTATAGGAAATGTACATGCTCTGTATGTACATTTCATACAGCACATGAATGCAACTTACTGGTCACAGAGAAGAAACGAACAAAAATAGAGAAAGGAGTTTCCTACAGGGTTTTTTAAATTCCCAAATTAAATCGAATAACGGATAACGATAACGGATAACGAATCGTTTTTTTCCTTTTTTGTTTGGTCATTTCGAAACAAAAAACGGGTACTGGATGGTTATACGTGTTTCAAGCTGTTATTTCGAAATGAAAACCGAATGGCCGCAAAGTACACGGACCCTAAACCAACTGGCGGGGTGCTAATTTGTAAGATATCAAGGCGCTAATTCACGAGACATACGAATCGCGTGCTGAACTTCTTCATACAAACTGTTTTATGAAGATACGTTGCATACTGACACAAAATTAGGGCCTTAAAGTTGCAAACACACTATTGTCTAGAATATCATTGTATGCTAGCATCCAACGAAAGGTCGTGACACACCTAGCTAACAGCCGGTCGTCAGTCAATGTCAGGCCATCAGTTACAGTGTGTCAACACATTCTCATGCCGACCTCGTCGCATCTTGACGTGCTTGGTCATGACTTTCCATGTCCATGTACGACATGCAACGTACCGTGGGTGCGTTGGTTGTTGACATTCTGGGACACCGTGTTCTCTTCCTTCAACATACAGCTACGTTTTCACAGGAAATTTAACGTTACATACAGTCTCTTTCAAAATAAAAGCACTACGTAGGTACAACAACACAAATTGACATTGTTTTTCCCTTCGACAACAAACACGTGGTTGGGTTTAGGAAATAAGAACAGGGTTTGTCTGCGAACACCGCACTCTCGGGTGAAAGTTCGGGACATTCTCCGCCATAACTTTAGTCCTTGTCCCACCGCCTTTCCCCCTGACGCCGCAAGCACCGCTAAATGTCAACTGGCCATGTATCATTTCAACGTTAAAGGACGTCTTTTTGCGTTGGTTTCTGACGCCGCAAGTCACTGCCCAAACGCTGGATTTCGACAACTTTGGAGTGAGACCGGGCTCTTGTAATTTACCAGTAAATATGCTACGTTCTTTCAAAATTTGGTTGTGTTGTTAGTATGCTAACTGGCTAACTAGCATCTTGAATGTGTTCTGTAGGTTTTCCAGTTTCCCTTTTTAAATGACGAATACAGACTATCGCCGCCTGCTGGCATAGAATGGATGTGTATCGTTGGCTATGCAGTGATTTCAAGTGCAACTTTTTTGGCCAAGACACAGGCGACATGTGGCAACAGAACAGTTGGCTGTCATGGTAACAAGTTTGTTGATGTCGGTTTGGTGTTTCTGG